CAAGGGACCAACAGAGCCAGACTGTGAGCTGTGGGGGTGAACCCTGGGGTGCACCTGGCCAGGGAGGGCTGGCCCTGCCCCCTAGAGAGAGAGCGCCTCACTGCCGTCCCAGCCTGCGGACCCACAGCCCCCCGCAGCGCCAGCTGCGGGGCTTCCCGCCCCAGAGCAGGGTTGGGGGGTCCTGACATCAGCGTGGGAGGGAGAAGCCAGGCACAACGGAGGCCAAACCGAGTGGCGGGTCAGTCCGTGGCTGCAGCCCTGGCTAGACCCACTCCCCGCATTTTGGCTCAGACGGAAGCCGCCCCGGCTGTGTGGATGGCGCGAGGGCTAGAAGGCCCCAGTGCTTTCCACAGCAGTCTGGAGCCCTCAGACCTGTGAGGACCTTAGAAAGCCCGTCAGGCTGGAGGCCTCTTTCTTCCAGTCTAGGAGGCCCAGCCCCAGCCCCCGCCCCAAGCTGGACATTCCTCCAGTCCCCCTTAGCCCTGATTTTCTGCCTGTAGAATTCTTGCTCTCCCTTGCAGCTCTCAGGCTGCCCGGTAGGGCCTGCGGCGGGTGTCCTGGCTGCTTCCAGGAGGCTTCTCGGCCTGCACTGGCCAGGCTGGCGTGAGCCCGGGCCATGGGTACCTGGGAGAGCAGCCCCCTTCCCCAACGCCTCGCTCCCCTTGGGCCCCCCCGGGTGCCCTGTCTACACCTGCAGGCCCAGGGTGTTGGGCAGGACACCGCAGGCTCCCGGCTGCACGAGAGGTGCCCAGGAGCCCCCTGGAAGGTGACCAAGGAGCCCTGGACTTCCATGGAGGCCTGCACAAGGCAGTTGTGTGGGCCACAATTTGGAGTGTGGAGGGATCCCCGACGAGTGACACCACTCCCTGAAGGCGCAGAGGTGGGCGGGGTCCCCGACTAGGCACCACTGGGCAATGCACCAGCGGGGAAGGGGCCCGCACCAGCAAGCACAGGCCCCAGCCCTAGTCTCCGGGGTCTGGCCACCACCCTGGTGGCCCTGCCGGTGGGAGGAGAGGGGCGGGGGTGCCCCCCACAGGGCGCAGAGCTGCTCTGAGCCAGCAGGTGGGGAGGCAGGACAGGAGCCGGGCCAGGGCAGGGTGGGGCCAGGGCGCTGGGCGGGGCCAGGGCCCCGTTGGGCGGGGTTAGCGGGGTGTGGGCAGGGTCAGGGCCTCGTGGGGCGGGGCCAGTGGTGATGGGCCGGAATTGGGCGGGGCTAGTGGGGACTGGAGCTGGTCATTGGTGGGCGGAGCAGGATGCTCAGTGGGGGGCCCTATCTTTCAGTGGGTCCCTGAGCCCTGAGTTTTTAGGGGGACAGATTTATTCTCAGCCTTTCCTTCATCCTCCTGGCCCTTTCTCTGGTCTGGGATGTCCCTGGTCTTGGACAATCGCAGTAGCAGGGCTGCTCCAGACAGTGGTGGAGAACCAGCGGCCAGCGGCCACCGGCCAGCGGCCAGACAGAGGGGGCCCTAGAATCCTGACACATCCACTGGGAAGGAGGCCAGAGGCTTCGGTGGGGGGAGAATCCTGACTTTTGGTAGGAGGTTCAGGATGGGGCTTTGCCCAGTGCAGGGAGTGGGTGGGCGCTGCGGCAGAGAGGGAGATGGGGACCCCAACACTTCATCTCCCTTGAGTGGTTCAGAGAGCCCCAGAGGCATGGCTGCCAGCGGGTGTGCAGGCTAGCCGGGGCTCCCGGACAAACCACTCTGCTCCCCCAGAACAGGAACACAGGCAGCAGCGTGCGGGTCTGGGCTGGGCCACAGTGCGCGGCCAGGTCCTCGCTGTCTTTTGGGAGAGGCCAGGGACAGAGGCTGGCTGGGTCCTGCTCCCCAGAGCTGCCAGGGGTGGCACAGTGACCCCGTGGCCACAGTGATGTCGCCGGGACCTCCAGGCTCTGGGGCCGTGGCCCTGCAGGGCCTGCCCTCCCGCTTATTGTCCGCAGCAGTTCATTCTTCTTGAGGTTGCAGAGGGTGTGTGTGCACGGGCTCGGTGTTGGCTGGACGCGGCCGAGACCCGGGCTGGGGACCACCTCCCTGAGCTAGCCCTGCAGAGGGCCGGGAGGGTGACTGCTACCACCTAGGGCCAGTGATGCCATCTCTGCCCCTTGCCAGAGACGCCGTGGCCAGGCAGTGCTCGGTGTAGAGACCCCTCCCTCTGCTGGATTCCCCTCCTGCCCTCCACACGCTCCAGACGAACCCAGAGGCCACCAGGCTCCTGCCCCCCGTCCCCCGGACACCTCCGCTGTGTCCACTTCCCCTGCAACCCAGCACCCAGTGACTGCTTCGGCTAGTGTCCAGCTCTGCATTTGGGCAGCACCTCTTCTCTCTGAGGACTGTGGTTTAACGGACATGCCAGCCGTTGGCCTGGACCTGGGCAGTCCGCTCAGCGCTGCTGGACAGCAGCTCCTCCTCCAGGTAAAGTGTCAGGGGCCCACCTGCCCCAGCCAAGCTCCCCATAGGAAGGGCAGCCAGAAGTCGGGAGGACAGGAGACCCGGTTTTCTTGTCCTGCCAGCCTCTGCTTAGCAGGGTGTGGAGAGCAGCCCCAGCGACATGGCCTCCTGCCACCTGGGCGTGGGGTGGTATGTCCCTGAGTCCTCTCCTGGGCGTTGCGCTGTGGTCTTCCCAGAATTGGAGAGGAATGTGGCTGTCAGGTTCAAGGGGCTCCAGACTGGCCTGATTCATCACAGCAAGGCTTGGCGCACGGAGTGGGCTGCACTGAGGACTCAAGGGTGCTGCTGCCCACGGGGACACGGGGTGCAGGGGGGCTGGTGGAGGACCAAGGGGCGCCTGCACCCAGCTGAGCAGCGCAGGTCTCCTCACATGCCTCAGACTGTCCACTGCACTGTGTCCACTGTGTCCAGAAGCCCTGCCCCGCCCTGGCCCAGCGCCAGCTCACACCTGTAACAGGTAGCAGCCGCGTGGCTCCTCTCCGCTTTTCCCTGTGTGTTGGGGAAAACACACACACACACACACACACACACACGCGCGCGCGCGTGCGCGCCCGGAGCCCAGGCACCTCGCCATCACTCCGCGCCGGCCTCCTTCCGAGCCGCGAGTGCCAGGACTCCAGCTCCGCGCACCAGCCGCCATGCGAGGCAGGGGACTCTGCGGATGGCGCTAACCTGAGCGGGAAGGACACTCTTGGCCCCAGAGGCCGCGGCCCCCGCCGAGTCCTTGGGACAGGAGGCGGGGTCGGCTCCGCAGGGCAGACAGGCCGCAGAGGAAGCGGGCTGAGCCAAGGGGTGCCGGCTGCGAGGGCAGGAGGAGGCCAGGGCTAGCGCTCGGCCTCGGGGAGGAAAGGGCGCAGCAGGCGCACTGGCTGCAGCCCGGCCAAGCTGACCTGCCGCTCCCGTGTCCGAGCCTCCGTAGCACCTTCTGTTCCCCAGACCCGCTTGGGCTGTCCCCCGCCCCGGGACAGCACAGCCCCGCCACCCCACATTGGCCCCAGCAGAGGATGGGAGGAGGTGGGGAGA